GTTGGTGGCACCGCGGGGACCCGGTTGGTGACACCATGAGGACCCGGTTGGTGGCACCGCGGGGACCCGGTTGGTGGCACCGCGGGGCCGCCGCGCGTTATATTTAGCGGCGGCAGCTGCCGGTGGCGCCACCCCGGGGCCCTCCCCTGTCACCCGGCCCTGTCACCCGGCCCTGTCACCCGCGCGGTCACCGCCGGGACGGACACGGGGACACCGGCACAGGGACCTGTCACCGTCACCGTCCCTGTCACCGTCCCAGGCCCCGTGCGCAGGTAGGAGGTGGCCCCGGGGGGGGGTCCTGGCCCCACAAGTTGGGGGGCAGCCCCCCCGCCCCTCCCCCCCCACCGCACGGCTGTGGGGCCAGATAAGGACCCGGCGCCGCCCCCAGCGGGGGGAGGGGACACGTGGGGCACCCTAGGGTGGGGGTGCACCCAGAGCAGGACATGGGCTATGGGGCACCCCACAGAGCAGGACGTGAGCTATGGGGTGCCCCCCAGCAAGGGGATGGGCTATGGGGCACCCCACAGAAGAGGGGACACAGGCTGTGGGGCACCCCACTGGGGAGAAGACAGTCTATGGGGCACCCCACAGGCCAGGGCATGGGCCATGGGGCACCCTAGAGAACAGGGGATGGGCTATGGGGTACCCCACTCTTGAAGGGGTTATGGGGCACCCCACATAAGAGGGGGGATGGGCTATGGGGTACCCCACTGTTAAAGGGGCTATGGGAAACCCAACAGAAGATGGGACGGGTTATGGGGCACCCCACAGGAGAGGGGACGGGCTATGGGGCACCCCACTGTTGAAGGGGCTGTGGCCTATGGGGCACCCCATAGAGGAGGATGTGGGGCAGGTGCCCCCGGTGCCACTTGAACCCCGCCCCCCCTGCCCTGGGCGGGGCAGCAGCAGCCAATCAGCTCCTGAAGGTGTGGCCAGGGACAATGGAGCCCGTCCCTGATTGGAGGGGCGGGGAGGGCGGGGTCCTCGGGGGTGGGCAGTTCCAGCAGGTAGGGGGCGCCGGGGGGCAGC